ATTTCATTGAGATCTGCTTTGGTAGCAGGGTCTAGTCTTAATTTTCATCAAGACTCAATGGTCAGCTGGGTGTGCTGACACACACTTGTAATCCCAGTGAAGCTGAAGCAGGAGGATCACAAGTTTGAGGCCAGTCTTAGCAACTTAGTGAAACACTGTCTCCCCCCCCCCACTTTTGTGGTGCAGGTATTGAACACAGAGCCTTGTGCATGTAAGACAAGCACTCTACCAACTGAGCTATATTCCCAGCCCAGGACAGTCTTTTTAAAAAGAATAGAAAAAAGAACTGGGACCAAGGAAATGTAACTCAGTGGTAAAATACCCCTGGGTTTCCAAAAAAAAAAAAAGGCATTGATCAGAATTATGGCTAATAAAGACAATAAGAACATACTTCATATTTCTTTCCTTAAGAGTCTGCTATCTTGGTCTCCAATTATCTCAATTATTCATAGGGCCATTCTTTCAACTGTACCCCCCCCCAACCTGTCCCAAAGTACTTAGAGCACAGGAGGGATAAGATTTCCAGGGTTTGTATTTAAGACACTGGGCATCCACATGACCTCCTGGGGTTTGAGCTATCTGCCTCCAAAATGGAGCTGCTGCCATTCTGTAATCTGAATTTTGCCTTTTCCTCTTTTCCTCCCTCCTTACAGCATGCTTAAAGCACACAGAGACTGACTGGGGTCATATTTTTCTTCTTTTCTGAGGGGGGGGTATTGTTTTTTGAAAATGCCAAGTGACAATAACATTGTCATTAAAGGTGATTTCTATCAATATTAATGGCTGTCATTTGTGGATACATTTACGATGTCTCAGGTACCATACCAACCACAGCATCTTATTTAACCCCCACAACAAATCATAAAATCACTTTGCAAGCCCATTTTAGAGAAGAAGAAATAGAGATCTGGTAAATTACATGTTTTGAAGGGAGAGAGTCAGGAAAAAATAAGGCTTGAGGGAAGTGAGCATTCAATAAATAATTTAGAAACAACGCTAGAATGTTGGCAATACAGTCAGGCAAGAGTCTAAACCAGTTCAAAGCCCACCTGCACTTTTCTTTAAATGTAAGACTGCAGGCAAGTTATACAACCCCTTTTTAAAAGGGCCCAATAACAAGACCCAATTTAATTGGGTCTTTAATTGGGAGGAATTCTGGACTTAATACATATAAATAATAATCTTTTTTCTCCCAGTCTACTGTAGACTACTATTTGTACCACCCACCCTTTGCAAGCCATGGGTGCCTTAAATGCCCTTATTTTACTTATCCATAAATTGGGGGACCTTAGATGAAAAACCATCCAGGGAGGATCAGGTAAGAGCTCAGACCCAATGTTCCTAAGAGGAAGGATCTGGAACAGTCTCTGTGGATGATTTTACTGAAAACATTTAGATTCCATTTTTTAAAAGATGTAAGCATTTTGCTAGGCTCCTCCACCATCAGTATGTCAGTATTGCATCATTAGGAGCTTAAAGATGTGTACTAGGTAAGTCAAGCCTCCATTTTCAGTCAACTTCCTGGTGCCCCACTGAGGCTTTGCAGGCTGATCCTAGGTCCCATAAAGCTCATGACACTTCAGTTGTGCCAGGCCCTCTTGAGAGCAGAGTGGTACAGAAGCTGAGCAGCTCCCTTCTGCTGCAGGGGTGGCTTCTTCTTTCTTCTTTCTTCTTCTCCTCCTCCTCCTCCTCCTCCTCCTCCTCCTCCTCCTCCTCCTTCTCCTCCTCCTCCTTCTCCTCCTCCTCCTTCTCCTCCTCCTCCTTCTCCTTCTTCTTCTTCCTATTTGCATAAAGTGTTTCTCCTTTTTTAAAAAACAGAGCACAGAAAACCAGCCTTCTCTCATTGGTTCCTGCTTGTGAATGAGGCCTCATATATATAATGGAACAGAGGAAAGGAGCTCATGAGAGTTGCTTCCTTTATGCTTAAGTCAAAGTAAAAGCCAAACAAATCCAAGCCCCAGTGGTTAAGTTTATATTGTATCTGCCTTTTTTAAAAAGAAGATTTTTAAAAATATTTATTTTGGGGTTGTAGTTGGACACAATATCTTCATTTTATTTATTTTTATGTGGTGCTGAGGATCGAACCCAGGGTCTCACATGTGCTAGGCGAGCACTCTACTGCTGAGCCACAACCCCAGCTCTGTTGTGCCTTTTTAATCATTTCATCCAGAAATCATTTCACTTACTGAATATCTACTAAGCACTTAGCAGTGCAGGTGACTCTCTGATGAAGTGTCAAGAGAGGGAGAGTTGTGAGGAAAATCTGAGCAGCCTCCTAGAGAAGTTACTTTCAGGGCCAAGTTTGATCAAGAGGAGTGTATTCTTATGGGAAGGAACTTTGGTGTAGGTAAAATCCCCGAAGTGAGAAATCATGGGAAGACACAGAGAAGGAACACAGAAAGGGAGCAGTATAGTTGCATGGAATTCAGAAACCAGGTATCATGGGTGTTCGAACGTCTGTAAAGCACTAGTACACACATGACCTCAAATCAGGCACCTGAAGAGAGAACAAGTTTGGGCCACTCAGCAGCCCTCTGTGCCCTTTCAGCTTGGCAGTGTGCTGGTTTAGGTGGAGTACAAGCTCACACTGGTACAGAATCCAGGAACCAGACAAGTAGAAACAGCAGGAGGTCCTACAATAAAACTCACCCCACTCCCTGCACTGCTACTAGGTCACAGCCCACCCTCCACCCTGCAATCACCACCATTTTGCCTCGCACCTTAATTTAGGTGAGAGGATAGTGGCAGGTGGAGAGGGCACAGTGGATTCCCCTAATAGCTGTGCCACTCACATCCCTCCAACCCTTCTTGAACTTCAGCTAGTCTCTAACTAGGGAACCCTCCTGCTAAAATCTGAGAAAAAGCTAGGAAGCGCCAGAGCCAGGAGAAACAGAAGTGGAGACCAAGAGGCCAGCCAGATGCCCTTGGAAAAGGCCGGTGATCTCCCCGGGCCTTCACTGGGCACCCTTACCCGCTGTACCCACCTTCTCAAGCCCCCGGAGTTCTGGAGTTGCAGCGCGCCCCCCGGAGGCCCAGCCCGACGGCCCAATCTTCCAGTCGCTTCGCAGCACACTCCACTCTGCTGGGTCCGGGGCGCATAAGCCAGGACGGGGGGCGGGGCAACAGGGGGTGCAGGCGAACCCCGCCGAGGGTTCTTACCTATATGCGGGCATCCGTCCGACCAGGTGAAGTTTGCTGCTGGGACTGCGAGGTTGGGGAGGCTCCCACAGGCTCGGATCGCGCCGCCCCCCGCCCTGAGCCCCAGACCCTTCGGTGGCCCTGAGCGGGGTCGCCGGGACTAGGGGACAGGCGCCGAGCGGGCGGGAGGAGGCGGCTCCTGCGGGGCGCGGTGGGGCGGGGCGGGGGTGTCTGCCCGGCCCCGCCAGGGAGGGGACGTGGGAGCGATTATCCCGGAGAACAAAGGCAGCCGGGGAAGGCTCGGCGCCCCCTACCCCCTATCCCCCGCCCACGGGCCTGGCCCTGAACTTGAACTTGTACTTGACACTTTGTCCGGAAGGTGGCGAGGAAGCCCATCCGAGTTGGGACGGGGCTAGTCAGTTCACCTTCCGTCTCGGGGAGGAGGCGAGCCCATCCTCCTCAGCGCCAGGAGAGAGCCGAGAATCCCCAGCCCGAGAGCGACCCAACTGCATTAGAGTGGAGGGTCCTGGGGTCCGCACGTCCCCTGCGAGAGTTGGGGTGCGGATGAGGCCCGGATCTCTAGCCCAAGGGAGTAGGCCGAGGCCCTGCGCCCCTCCTTGGTCCCTCGCTCTCTTCCTATCCCCGGCCAGTCCCGCCGCCCTAGCTGCGCAGGGCAGGCCGGATTCTCTGCACGTCGCGTCGGCAGCCGCTATTCAGCCGCTAATTGAACGTTAATGGCAGGTGCGGATGAGGTCACCAGAGCTGGCTTTTCTCACACATTTTTCATGCAAATTCGCGAAACTCTAAACAAATTTGAATAAAAAGCTCTTTGTGCCGCGTGCCCCCCAGTCCTCTCTCTCCCGCCCGGGGTCCTGGCTCTCCCCGGTGCCCTGGGGCTCCAGCCTGCTGCCTCGCGGGGGGGAGCTGGACGCCCTGGGCAGCGCCACCTGCCAGTCAGTGATTCGGCCCTAACCAAACTGCCTATCGGCCAGGGCTGCTGCCGGGAGATGAGAGGCATTTCACCCGGGGTCTAAGGGCAGGGCCAGGCTGACACTAACCGTCCTTTAGGAAGGTGGTATGCGCAGTGGTTAAGTGCCTGGCATTTGCACCGACAGACTACCTGTGTTGGCATCCTGGCTGCATCCACACCCAAACAGACCACCTTAGAATGCTTATTGGACTTCATCTCTCCATTGCGTAGGTAGGAATGAGGATAGTGCCCACTTTTTTTTTTTTTTTTAATTAAGGTGTGAGGATTAACCATGATTTAAGACAGAAGCAAGCACGTAGTGCCCAGCACAAGAAAATGTCAATTATTGTCTGGGGTCCAAGGGCCTTGTGAGAACGAATGCTGTGATGAAAGCATGATTGTGATTTTGCACATACATGAAAAAATTTTGTCAGGGGCTGTCAGGAAATTCATGACCCTTTACATCCCATTCTGGTCATAGAGATGAGAACTAGGACCCAAATTCACCATTTTCCAGCTGTGTGACTTGGTATATTTCTTAGCCTCTCTGAGCTTCTGTTTCCTAGTCTTAAAATGAAATTGTCTTCTGCAATCATTGTTAAAATTAAATGAGAAGACACTAGTGGAGGTTTAGAAGGAGCTTGGGGACTACTCTCCAATCCAGAACCAGAGCACCTATAAATTCTACCCTCAAAGCAAGGTGGGCCTTGGACTTCATCTTCTTACTGAGGTGACCCTAGGTCAAGTAGCCAGACTTTCCAAGGCCTAGTGAAGCTTTTTGTTCCATCCTTCCCAGGGTCCCACCACACCTCCAGATACCATGAGTTATCTTTTAGCAGCTGAATCTTTCTTCACTAATATCCACCCAGGAAAACTCAACAGAGACATGGGAGGCTTTGCAAAGAAACTTTATTCTCCATGGACTGGTGCAAGAAAGCCAGAGGGTTCACAGGACAGGAAGAGGCTTCTTTCCCATAATTTGCCCTAGTGCTCTCTCAGGACAATTCAGATGGACCCAATGGTCTTGTAAGAGTCCTAGAAACTCAAGCACATGGGGACCATCTCTGCTTTCCAGTATCAGCTTCTCAAGACCCACCCCCCCACTCCCTCTTATCATTGGACTAGCCTCTGAGAAGCAGTGGGGCCATCCTGGGAGCCTCCTCACCTTCCTAAGAGGCTCCTTTAGGTCAAGGACCTCAAGGAAGAAGCAAAGTCTACGGGAGTATAGAAGACCAGGAGCCAGGAGACTGGGCAGCAGCAGCACTTAAGAGCAATATTAACCAACAGCCCCAATCTGAATGAGGGTCTGGAATCCGCCCCAGTGCCCAGTCTCCAAGGCTTAGCACACCCCAAGAAGAGAGATGGCATTAGGTGGAATTGAGGAAGACCCCAGGCAAGGGAGTATTTGAGGTGGCCTTGCAGGCAAAGGTTGATGTCTTTTCAAGTGGATACTGGCCAGGAGAAAGTACAGCTTTGGGGACCTTTTTTAAATGACAGGATTTCTTTGGGGTTAGGAGTATAGTTTAGAGTCATTTAGTCTTGATTTTGAATCTCATTTCTGGCAATTTTTAGCTGTGTGACTAAGGACCATAACTTTTCTGATCCTCAGTGTCTTCATCTGTAAAATGAATGTACTAATGGCACCCACAGCCCATAAAATTAAAGAAAACTCATTGGGCCAAAGCACAGTGACCTGGCACCTGACAACCTAGCCCACAGCAGTTGCTCTTAATATTTCCTTTCTCCTCACTCTGCTTGCTGGCAGCTGATCTGGGACTACCTAGACTCCCATGGGTTTCCCAAGCCCCTCTAGGACTGCACCTCCCCAGCACCTCCTCCCGGCTATCCAGGGCCCAGTGAAGAGTGCTATGTGAGCTGCTGTGTCCCGACCTGTGGCAGGACACCAACGTTTCTGGCTTTGGGAACTCCTGTGCCCTGTCACAGGCAACACTTTCCCGGCAATTTACTCTTTGGCTGGGGGAGGGGAAGTGAAGCAGGGGTGATTGATGCTGGGGTGGGCAATACAAAGGGTGCTTTTTCTCTCAGGACACATGCTCTTTTTGCAAATGGTACCTTTCAGAATCCCATCCATTTGCTGCCAGCCCCAGTTGGTCTGTCCTCCTTTGGGCTGCAGTAGGATGGAGACATCTTCCACTCACTGAGGTCCATGTGGTGCCACCCTGGGGTGGCACCCCAGGGGTCAGTCTCCTGAGGATGGAGGGGCAATGGCTGAGAGCCTACACCACCCTTCCTGAGCCCCCATCAGATTCCTGACTCCTACCCCTACCTGCCCAGGATTTTGGGCAAATCAACCAACCTTTCCCACGGGGTGAATTGAAAACATGATACCCACATCTAAACAAGACCAAGAGAAACACCCTGGCACTTACTAGATTTTATGATTAATAGAGCCATGCTGATGTGATCATTAGGCTCAGAAAAGTATAGTAGCTAATGTTGCCAGTGATTCTGGAATATTTTTTCCTGCAACATCACCACTATCATCTTAAGTTCCTATTCCAAGTTTGTTGATAGAAGTTAAGCCTATTAAATAGTCCCTATATTTTTCAAGAAAAGTATTTTACAAACATGAAAAGAAAATATTATTGTACAGAAGAATGCATCCCTGTATCCCCACTTCCCAGAGGTGGTTATCTAATACATATTATCAGAAACCACTCATATATAAGCATATTTATGATTTGTTTTTGTTTTTTGTAGGGTTTATTTATTATTATTGGGATTAAACCCAAGGGTGCTTTATCATTGAGAGCTTCATCCCCAGATCTTTTTATTTTTAGACAGGGTCTCAATAAGTTGCTTAGAGCCTGACTAAATTGCTAAGGCTGGCCTCCAACTATTAATCCTCCTGCCTCAACCTCTGGAGTTTCTAGAATTTATAGGCAAGCACCACTGCGCTTGGCCTGGTTTTTTTTTTTTTTTTTTGGTACTGGGTTGGACCCAGGGTCACTTATCCACTGAGCCACATCCCCAACCTATTTTTGTATTTTGTTTAGAGACAGAGTCTTACTGAGTTGCTTAGGGCCTCACTAAGTTGCTGAGGCTGGCTTTGAATTCTCGATCCCCCTGCCTCAGCCTCCCGAGCTGCTAGAATTACAGGTGTGCACCACCACACCCGGCTGGCCTCTGATTTTTAAATGTACACAAATAAGATCATACTCTATTGCCTATTCTGCAGTTTATTCTATTTACCCTATAATATATACTAGCCAACATTCCATATGGGCCTGTCGATAGAGATCTTACCACATGGACTTTTACAACTGCATAGTACTCCACTGTATGAAAGGACCCATTGGTTATTTCTATTTCTTTACACTGTAAAGAAGAAATGATCCCATGAACACCCTTGTACATACCTCTTTGGGAAGTTTTACAAATATACCCATAAGGTAAATTCCTAATAGTGCAATATATTTGTGTTCAAGTATATGTGCCTTTTATATTTTTTTCCCCAGTACTGAAGATTAGATCCAGGAGTGCTGAGATACACCCCCAGCCCTTTTAATTATTATTATTATTATTATTTTTTTTTTTTTTGGTGCTGGGGATTGAACCCAGGGCCTTGTGCATGAAAGCCCCCTTTTTAATTTTTTGAGATGGGGTCTTCTGAAGTTGCTGATGCTGGCCTTGAACTTGCAATCTTCCTGACTCAGCTTCCTGAGTTGCTGGAATTACAGGCCTGCACCACTGCCTTTTATTTTTTGATACTGCTACATTTTAGAAAATACACTTCCTAAAAACAGTATTGAAGAGTGTCTTTAAATAGACACACAATGTTACAGAAATATAGCACCCAGCCAGGGAGATAAATGTATACCTGGAGCCCAGTGAGAATGGCATTGCACTGAATGTTGTCCTTAGGGCAGTGCCCAGTAGTCTCTTCCCATCCAGGCCTATGCAGGCTGGTGGCCCAGAGTGGCCGGAGTCACAGCAGAGTGTGCCTACAGGGGCTGTGGAAGTGGAAGGCAGGCCAGAGTGGCTGGGGTCTCGCCTGAATGATTTCCTGAAGCCATTGTCTCTATCCTGCCTGGTCTCCTTGAGGGGAGTTTATTCAGGGGCCTATGGAGAGGGGGTTGGGCAAGAGGAGGGTGTGTAGTCCTCTCCAAAGGCACCCAGGAATGTATCAGAGGAGGGAGAGAGAGAGGAAGGGGGGAACCCATCCCTGGAGAGACAGGACGTCAAGAACCCCTGACTAATGAATAGCGAGTTTGCCCTTGAACCTCACTGGGCTTCGCCATTCTCAGGCACAGACAAGAGCCGAGACAAGTCTGAGCCCAGCTGCACAGGGACAGCGGCGGTTCATCTCAGACACTTTGACAGGCTGGGCCTTTTCCCTGCATAGCTCAGATCTGCCTCTGGGCTCCCCTGGCAACAGCACAGCAGCATGGCTCCTGGGTCCAGGCCGAGCCTGCTGTGAGCAGGAGGGAGGAAGAGGAGCACCAAAGGGAGGACAGCTGGGGAGAAGGAGTCATTAACTCCTAGAAGGCTGGAGCCTCTGCTTTGGCAACTTCTGAGCACACTGCCTCCAGTCCTTTGGGGTGAAAATGCAGATGGTATAGAGCTTTCATTTGCCAGAGGCCTGGCCAGAATGTTTCAGGGTGAACAGGCCTGATAGGATGTGATAAGGGCAGAAATGGTAGAGGACAAACTAGGCCAATAGGTCAAAAGCAAAGACCCCACAAAAGGGTTGGGTCATATTCCCCAGGTCTCTTGCCAAGTCCCAGACAAGCAGGATTGCCTGGGATTCCTCCATTCTTGCCTCCAACTTTTACAGCCTCAGGAGGTAGCTGACTCTTCTCTTCCTGCTCAGATTTTCTCCTTCTGATGATCTTCTATGACCTGAGGCAGTTTGGCTCCATATTCCAATCCTGCGACCTTGGCAAGAGTCACCATTCCTCTCTGTTTCCATTTCCATAAAAACTGAAAAGAGGCTGTACCATCACTTTACTTCACAGGACAATCTAAAGATAAGAGAAATAGTATGTGAGAACTCTGGGGACGAAGGTGTCCTATAAATCTCATTCAGGTATTATTAGGGCTGAAACTAGGTATTTCTGCTCCCTGGGGAAGGAGGGTGGTGGGCAGGGGAGGAGTTCTTCCAGGGTCGTTTCAGGACCTCCCCAGCAGAGCAGTCCTGAAGATGGAAGGCAGGAGGAGGTCAGAAAAGTCCTGGGCTTGTGTGTGTGACCTCTGAATTCAGTTAGGCTTAGGAGATAAGGGAGAACAATCCTGTCATTTCAAGGTACTTTCTCTGTGTTAGTTCTGTCTTGCTGCAACTTTATGAGAAAGATGTGATTATCTTTTTTAGAACTAAGGAAACAGAGTCTTACAGAGGTTGAATTCCTGGCCTAGGGTCACCCCAGTATCCAGGAATCCTGAGCCCACATCCACCTTACTCCATGAGGACACTGAGCTGTACTGGTGGCAAAGCCATCTGGCTGGGGATACTGGGGACCAAAAAGTAGTATTGTCCCTACAGATTACTTCACAAGGTTTGGGGCTTCTGAGTCTGAAGGCCCTGACCCAGGGAAAGTCCCAAGGATAATGCAAACATACCTGGAGGGTCACTTCGGCAAACACTATTCAAAGCATGTAGAACCAGGAGAGAAGGCAAAGACATCCCAATTTGAGGCTGAGAATGAGAACACACCTAGCTGAGACATGCTTTCTGGCCAAAGCCTTGTTTCAAGGCAGATCACATGTTAGTCTCATGGCACTTGCCAGCAGTGAGGTGGGCTTTCATTTTTGTAGCCTCTGGGTAAAGGTGCCTCCTCCATCCCAGTGTAACTTGAAGGAGATAATGCAGGCTGAGTTCCCTGTGAGCTGGGCAGGGCCACGACGGGAGGGTTACTGGCATGTAACAAAGTAGGAAACCTAGGAAAAACTCCAAATTATAATATGCAGCAGTTCAAGGACCTCAGATACCATCTTACCCAATGTTCCTTTTCCAGGTTCAGAAAGAGAGGTAGCTTGCCCAAGACCACTCAGTAGGAAGGTGGGCCGGAGCTCAAGTCTCTGACTTCCAGCCACATGGGGCAATGTCTTTCTATGCTCTTGTTTCCTTACTCGCCCACCTTAGGCCCTCAAAGGCAGAGATTTTACCCCATAAGGCAAAGAGAAAGACCAGGTAGAAGCAGCTACTGTTGGCAAAGTACACATATCTAGGGGTGGCCTGGGGTTGGGGCAGATGCTGCCTGAGGTCAAAAGATTTCTTCAGTGACAAAAGAGGGCTGTACACTACCCCTAATATCACATGCTCACACTCTGCAGCCAGACACAGAAACCACTGACCTCCCTTGGCTAAGGAAGAAACAGGCATGGGGAAGTGATCCAGATGCACTCTGAATCCCGACCCACAATGTTTTTAAGAAAAGACATGAGGAGGCAAGAGCTCCAGAAAAAAACTTACCCCCACAGAAACTGGTGGCAGCTCTGCAGCCATCATGGAGCCTGGAGCTGGGAAGGACCTTGGTTCACTGCCCTCTGCCAAGTCAGGCAGGGTATCCCATGCCAGGAAGGTCTGACCTGCTCAGAATGCAGAGGAGATCCCTGGATCCCACATTCTGTGACCTGGTCAGGAACGGCCCTCCAGGGATGTCTGTATACTTGCTGATGAACAGACACATGATGGAGCAGAAAGACAAAAAGACAAATGAACTTATTTCAGCCCAGCTGTGCCCTCCTCTCTGAGCTGATGGTTTGGACCAGCTGCCATTCTGACTAGTTGGTGCCCAGGCTGTACCAGAGATTAAATATTCTGAATATAACTACTGTCCCCACCCTACCCCCAAACCACAGATATACTAAATGACCTTGAGAAATTCACCTCCTTCATATCTGCCCTATACCTCAGGGAAAGAGTGAAGTAATATTAACCCTATTTAGTGGTATCCATGTATCTGACACTCCTCACAGCAACTCCATAGGTAAAAACAATTCCCATTTTTCAGATGAGGGTATAGAGGCTCTGAGACATCTACTGCACAGTAATTCTGGGTTGGGCCCTGCCCACAGCACCTCTTCCTCCCCAGCCAAAGTTTTGGGCCTGAGCTACCATCATCTTGCTGGGATAAGTCTTAGAATCATGTGGGCTTTCATTCGGCATCCTAGCCTCAATTTTGGAACTCCTTGGGTTCTCTAAGGATAGCTCCATCTGATAAGGAAGGCATACTATACAGCAGTCTCACTTAGTTCTAGAACAAATCTCCATCCCCTGATCACCTTGACAGCATTTTTCTAGCTGACCTGGGGAATGAATACCTGCAATGTACAAATGACTTCTAGCTGGGATTGGTAGCCAGTGGATTTGAGCACTTGGGTAAGGTTGGGGGCAGCTACCAAACAATAAAACCTCAGCCATGCAGAAAGGGCTGGAAAGCCTTAATCTTGGAAACTTTCCTCCTGAAGAACAAAGAGCAAGGTGACGCCCAACTGCAAGCAGGGCCTGAGTCCCAGCCCTCGACCAGGCACCACCCATGCTGGGTCTAGCCCAGCTGGGGCTGCTGCTTCTGGAAGGGGGAGCCGCGCTTGGAATGTGATTCCCAGGCTTTGTGTGATACTCAGTGACGCTCTGTTAGCAGAGTGCGACTCCTAAGATCCCCTGTTACCTCCTAAAGCCTCTGCCAGCCCGCCCCCCAGCACCGCACTGATCATCAGATTAAGGAGCTCAGAGCTACAGCTGAGGCAGCTAAGACCTTGGTTGGGGGCAGGGAGGACAGGAGACAGATCCCCTAAGGCCCTGCCTCTTCTCCCCCACCCCTACTGTGGTCATTTCTCTCATTATATCTAACCTCTCTGCTCTTCATCAAGCTTTAGACTTCATTGCCAGATACCCAGCTTGAGTGAGGAGCAACCCAGGGAGAGAGGTAATAGGGCAAAGAAAGAGGCCCCCAGAACCCAAAGAAGAAAGATGGGGAGAGGCAGAGAGGGGAGAGATGGCCAGGTTGAGAGGAGTGAATGTGCTGCTTGTGGACAACTGGATGAAGCAATGAGGGGAGGGTACTACCCACCACAGAGAAGTCCTGGGGCCTGCCTCCCCTGCTGGCCCAGTGACTACCTACAGTTAATGTTGGAACTTCCTGTGGGTTCCTCTAGCCAGCTGCTGGCTCTAGAGCAAAGTATATCCCACCACATCTGAGAAGGTAGGGAAGAGAAGACCAGAGATGGGGGAGGTTGACAAAGGGACAGGAGAGAAAACCCAGCTTTTGAAGCTTTTCTCTAAGATCCCAAAATTTTCAGAACCAGAGGCACTTTAACTCATTTAAAACACATATATAGTAGCCAGGCATGGTGGCACACACCTGTAATCCCAGCTATGAACAGGAGGATCACAAGTTTGAGGCTAGTTTGGGCAACTTAGTGAGATCCTATACTAAAATAAAGCAGGGAGAATGTAGCTCAGTAGTAGATGCTTGCCTCACATGTACAAGCCTCTGGGTTCCCTAGTATTATAAAATAAATATAGCACACACAGAGAATAAATTAAGTTCCCTTCTTTCTGTAGGAGTTACCCTGGGATGAAGCTCAGTAGTAAAGCTCCTTAGGTTCAATTCCCATTAACAACAACAACAACAACAACAACAACAAAAGGACTGGAAGCTTTGGCATACAACATTTTGGACTGTAAGTAATCCTAGGCTTAGGCTTCCAATTAATCTAGAGGCTGTGTGAACAAGAGGGCAAGGCCAGCAGGGCTGAGTAGCAGGGAAAGACCAGCAAAGAGTTAGGAATCAAATGCCCTGGCCACTGAATCCTGAGTCCTTGCACCTGAACAAGAAGAACAATGTTCCACCCCTGCCCCTCACTCCCTGAGTTACTGTAAGGGGCTGTAGAGGTAGAGAGACTCTGAATGCAATAGCCGGGAAGTTGTCTGGGAGGTCTGGCTCAGCTCAGCTTTGGCAAGCATCCCTGTCCCCTATCCCAGGGCCTGCAGGGGGCGACTGGGACACATCCAGGGCCCTGGCCAGCAGCTGCTCTCCCTTTAGCTTCTCCTGTGTGGCCACTGCCTTCAGCTCCCTTCAGCTGGGCAAGAGCTTGTTTCTCACCACTGTAGCATAAAGGCAGGACAAGAAGGGCTCATGCTGCAGAGGAGGGTTTGTAAGAACCTGAAGATAAGCCTTGTCTGCTCCTGATCCTCCATCTACTCTGAAAACACAGGCCTACACTAGAGGAATGAAATCCTTCCCGCAATACTCACTATCACCTCTAGCCAGAATTCACTGTCCCTCCTTCACCATGTAAATCAGAGAGCGCTAAATCAAACACAGGTTTGAAAGAATCACCATCATCACAGACTTTTTGGGCCAGGAGGGAACCAAGAGATTCCTGAAGTTCAACTCAATCATCTCACCAATGGAAAAACCGAGATTCAGAGGTTTGGGGATGTGGCCTGCCTGAGGTCACAGAGTGGTAAGGCCACACCTTGTGCCCTCTGTACCAGACCCCTTTCCTTTCAGGCCAGACCTCTCCAAAAGCTTAAAGGGAAGCTTCTCCATCATATCCCAAACAATCCCAAACAAGATCCTGGCCCACCACGGGTGGCATGGGTCTGGGGACATGGGAGGTCATAATGCGATAAGCAGACTGGCCATCTGGCTCGGGTACAGAGGAGAGCCCAGACTGGCCGCTTCTGCTGTCCTGTCCCAAGGGGCCCTGTGTCGCGAGAGACAGACCGCCAGATGGATAGGCACTGGCCAGGGTCTGGGTGGAAGCCAGTGAGTTCCCTATAGTCAGAGCTGACCAACTTTCAGATGTGCAGGGGTAGGATGGGAGGGGGCTCAGGGAATAAAGTCGGCCCCTACCCCAAGGGCAGAAAAACAGAGCAAGAAGATGGGGGATCTGAGATTCTCAAACCAATCTCAGAGTCTGGCTCCCCAGGTAGGCCCAGCTCTGCTCAGCTCCACAGCCCCCAGCCTGCTGGCCAGCTACAAACAGGGCCCCCTCCCCGGGAAAGGCAAACACATCTCCCCTGGCACCTTCTCAGACATGCATGCAAAACTAATTAACATGGGGAGACATGTGAGCAGCCGGCCAGCTCCACACCCTCGAGTCCACGCAAACAAGGCAAGCCCTTGTCCGGGGGACCTGCACAAAGCTTTGTTGCTAATTTAGGCATCTGTCTCTGTCTGGTCTGGTCCTCCTGCCTGCGCTGGGGTTTTTCCCAGCCCCTTGGACAATGCTGGGAACAGGCCCGCAGATCCCTTATTCAAATCACACCCAGGACAATGAGCTCATTGTGCAGACCACAGAAAGGGGGATGCTGGGGGGTGGGATTGTGTAAGGGGCATCAGGGAGTGGAGAAGGGTGGGGGGGGGGGTGAAGAAAATGGGAACCCAGGAAAGTGTTTACTAACACAGCCCCTGCAGCTGCCTTGGGCCCCCTTCCCCTCCCCTGCCTGACTGGGAGCTGAGGAGAAGTCCTGGGACTCAGAGATGGGGGGCCCAGAGTCCATGAGGGAACTCATATTTATTGGCCATTTGATACAAACTCTGGCTCAAATCTTTGTCCTATTGGCCTCTCCTATCTTCAACAGTCTACAGCTACCTCTGCATGTCCAAGGGCTGGAATAGTTTTTATAGAATACTTTGAAATTCTTTTTTTTTTTTTTTCTTATTTCAGGCTTAGCAGAATAAAGCGCAGACCCAACTGCAGAGGAGGAGACAGGGTTAGGGGGAGAGGTGTTGGCGGCTGTGCAGGGTGGGACCTGCTGTCTAGGCCATTGTCTTCAGGCAACGTTTCATTTTCTCCTCCTTCCCAGCTAATAAATTAGAAAGGAGACGTGAGCTGCGAAGGGACAGGCTCCCCATGGACGAAAGGCAGGCAGGAAGGCAAGTCTGTAAGCTCACGGCAGATGGGGCTCACCCAGTCAGGCAGCTTCTCATACACCTGGCCAGCCACTTGAATGCAGCCCCATATAATGAGAAGCATGGCAAAACCCCCATACATATACATATATGTATATGTATGGCCCCCTTCCCCGGGAAAGGCAAACACATCATGATGGCCTTCCAAGGGGGAGAGTTGGGGCTTTGAAATGTCTTGCTTATTACCAACACAACTCTCCAGCTCCTTGTTTAACTGAGCTGCCATAAAGAGATACTCACAGCCTTATGCGCTCTCTCTCTCTCTCACACACACACACACTAGCAGTCCCAGACATATAGACTGATGATAGTGTAATGAATGTGGGACTACAAGTGCAATCAGTATAAGGCTCATACTGCTGGCTTCCCCACACTGGGCAGAAATTTCATATGGGTCAACCTAATAGTCACCCTGAGGTGGTTAAAAGATTATGGTGTGGCTGTTGCCAACACTCCAGCAACTTCCTCCCCTTACAGCACCACATGGCAGCACACCATCCCCAGGATGGCTGCTGGTGTAGGAGGTGAAGTAATATCCCATTCAGGAAGAATGCCAGATGGAAGCAAATACCTCCAAGACAAAAAAAGTTTGGAACTGGTCTCAGTCCTTAGTCAGGGTAAGGTTGGCTGAGCTAGCCAGATTTTTTTTTTTTAAATAATGAAAAAAAGGGTACTCAAACATCATCTTAATTGTCTTGTGTCATAAGATGACATGTCATGAAGTTGGGGCAATGTGGACCCTTGCTGGGGTTGCCACGATTCCTTCTACTGTTAAAATAATTCAGAGAATGGTATTGAAGGATGAAGATGAACACAAATGATTAAAATCTCAGGGACCCCTTAAAATGGGCACCTTCCCAGAGTAATGGAAATGTACTAGGTTGAACTACATGAAACAATCAATACTTAAATGTTTTTGAACAACAACAACAAAAAATTCATATGGGTCAACCTAATAGGAAAGTGGTTCTAAGAATCAGGGTAATTGCTCTTTTTGTTTTTAAAATTTGCTTGTTGTTATTATTTTGAGATAGGGTCTTGCTATGTTTCCCAGGCTAACCTCAACTCCTGGGCTCAAGTGATCCTCTTGACTCAGCCTCCAGAGTAGCTGGGACTAAAGGCCTGTCACCAAGCCCAGTTTTCATTTTATAATGTCTTCCCCAAACTAAGTTTTTTTCTTCCAAAAGAAGAAAAAAATAACAGTAATCCAAGACCCAAATCTGGCTTGGACTATCCATCTGTAGCCATATCAATACATTGCACAGAGAAATCAGAAATGCTGCTAGAAAGAACTGTGAACACACACTTGTGGACTCTTGCCATAGTGCTCCTCCTTCTCTTTTCTCTGTCTTCTGAATCTGGAAAAGAGAGAGGGCACATGAGAGGGAGAAGAGAATAGGGAGAAGGACAATCTTGCACTGGCTCCTCTAGCTCAGGAGTCTATGCACCACTGCCTCGTGACTGAAGTACATGCTGTCAACTGGTTGCCACAGTTAAATCCAAAGCCAATCTATGTGCACGTGTCATTCATTCCGTGAACCATGGACAGGAGGTCTCAGCAAGGGAAGTAGAAAAGAGCTAAGCTACCTTGTGTAGGGAAGGCTCACTGGTAGCCAGCATCTGGACACTCATTTGTTTCACTGCTCATTGTCACAGAATCCAAGAATATATATATTGTCTTTCTGGAAGTCACCCTCACTAGACTCTGTGGGGTTTCCCAGAGAAGAAAAGGTCAAAGGTTTCAGAAGCAGAGTCTAGACTACTATGTCTTCCTACTTGCTTCTCACCTGCTTACAGTCTGTTCCATGTATGTTCATCTTGCCCACGGATAGAAGCTGATCAGTCCATAATGAAGCTGAGGGAAGGACAATTCCCTCAGATTCTCTTTTTGGCTAAAAATCTGTGGTTCCTTTCAAAGGTCTGGAACCACTTTCCATGCAGCCAGAAGTGATGCCTTAACCAATGCTATGTAATGATGTCCAAGTGTTTTATCTTACTAACACACACATATCAACCTCAACAATGAAACCATCAAAGTAGTAGTAATAGTACTACTAGTAGTAGTAGTGGTAGTAGTAGTAATGGTAACAAACCCATTTACCCTTCCTGCTCCTGTAAGGCAAGTAATAAAATAGCAGACCCAGCGTTGGGGCTTTAGAACTGGTGGATTCATTTGCAGGACTGCGCCCCAACCCACGGACTACATGGAAAACTCTAAAACTCCAGTTGTGTGGACAGAAGGCAGCTGGGGGCCTACTATTGCCAACTTATGTGCAAGCCTGCTTACAAAGAATTGTACTAGAGTCCAGCCTGAATAGAACTGGGGTAAAATTCTAGTCTTGGTTTTCCAAACAGCATCTGATTTCTTCTAAGGAGGAGAAACCTTCAGTGTATGAATCCTTCCAAAGGTGATTTATTATCTGATTGTATTTTAGATGTTTTCTACCTGTCTCACACATAAATCTCATTAGGTTACTGATATTCTGATTCTTAAGATCAAAGTTGGGCAGAGATATAGCTCAGTGGTAAGGTGCTTACCAAGCATGTGTGAGGTCCTAGGTTTAATCCCCAGGGGGAAAAAAGTTTTTAAATGAAGAAAGGGAAAGTATATAGAATTGGCAAGATCTAGAGAATTAAAGTTTTAGCTGAAGCTAAGGGACAGTGTAAGGTCACAATGGGAAGAGCATGAAATGACCTCTGACCCTGTTCTCCCAGGCTCTTGGGGCATGAAGAGGGGCAGGGAAGGCAAGAAGTCCACAAACTGATGATAACTGTCACACCCCCAGTGCCTGCTAACCCATCCTGTTCTGGATGAATATATGAAATTCTATATTACAGCTAAAGTGCTGGACCAGGGACTGTGGTTTCCTCCTCTGTGTCCCCAAGGCTTTGCCTGACACATAATGTGCAGTCAATAAACGTTGAATGAATAAATGAGTGTGGTAGAAAAAATACAATGTGGCATGGGAAGACTTCCAATTCTTAAGCTCCATGGTTCTCTTGCAAACTGGGAAATGGCTCTCTGGCCCAGTCTGGACCTACTGTCCAGGCCAAGAGCCATGAGGTGACAGGCCTAAGGTGGGTGTGCCTACTCAGCTCCAGCTGACTTGAGTGGCTTAGGGCCTGGCATCCTCCATGCCCACCCATCTTGCACATGATGACTGATTCCCTTAGTTGTCTCCCTACCTTGTCATTCTCAGTCTCAACCATCTGACCTGATATTCTGCACCTAAATCTCAGAAGCAGTCCAGCAGGTCTCCTCCCTGGCCCTCTACCCTGACATCTGAACCTGGTCAGACGTCTGAACTCTGGTCATGGTGTTTTCCTCCCAGTGGAGATCCTCTGTCCCGCTCTCTTGACAATGTGGAAGATCTTAGTAGATATAGGGAGTCAAACTGATGCCTCCACCTTAACTCCTAGGGCCTGAATCAAAACAATCTACCCCTGAATCTATGCATCCCACTAGTTTCTCTGTTCCTAGAGAGTAGAGAGCAGGTCAAGGCTTCTATCTGCACCAGAGTTTACCGATGGTCAGTAAACTGAGCTGGGTCCCTTGCCCACTCACTTCCAGGGCCTTTACTCTATGACACACCAGTGAGATAGAGAATTCAAACTGGTGGTTCTTTCATTTTAGGGGGAAGGGGCAGTGCTAGAGATCAAACCCAGTGTCTTAACTATTCTAGGCAAATGTCCACTGAGCCAGATTCCTAACCCAAAGTGATATTTCTTGAGTGCTACAAGGTAAGTATTACTATCCCTAACTTTGCTCAAACTGGCTCAGAAAGGAGAAGTAGTGTGCCCATGGGTTCTCAGATAGGCCAGAGAGACCCCAGAGCTTGTCGCCCTTTGAACAACACTACCTCTGCTTCACACTCCTGTGATCTCTGAGTCCATGACTCAACAACAGAAAAGAGTGGACTAAAATGGGATACAGGAAGATGTAAGCTCAAAGGGCAAGGGTGGCTGTAAACTTCAAATTCCCTTTTTTACTTTCCCTCTCCCCAGCAGTTGTCAAAGAAATGATGTACCTTCAGAGCACTGGCCACCTCTCCTGACCCAGAGAGACAGCAGGTACTGTGCTGCCAAACTGGGCAAATGAAAAGAGGCCTGGCATTCTCTGCTGAAGTACAAGACAAGATGGGACAGGGACCACTTTTCCTCCTCCAGAGGACAGTGGGTGCTACCTCAGGGGGCAGAGCATTGCAGAAAATAAAGGCCAAGCTCCCCCTGAGAAGCCCTACTCCATTGGCATCATAGACAGGCTGGCAGACTTGGGCCTCCCCGTATTTTACAAAGTAAGGTGCAACAAGGCTAGGGTGCACAACGACGATGAGAAGACGGGTCAGGACTGGGTGGAATGCTTCCTACCCCTCCAATACCTTGCCAAGGCTCCCTGGAACGCAGCACTGAACTTTCCCATCTGGATTCTCTAGATATACTGCCACCCTGAAGTAAGAGATACTGTAGAGGCACTTTCTAGCAACCAAGTGAACTCATGCTGCTTCCCAAAGCCTCTGGGAAATAAGGACCCATTGAGACCTAAAATGCCCTCCTACCTAAGAACTATAGCTTTTGAGACATACCCCATGCAAAACACCCAAATGACACTGGCTTAGAAAAGTACAGAACCTAGATTATATTTACAACTCTTTCTTCTCCCCAAGAGCCAAGTCTCAAAGAAGACACATATGCAAAGTGTTAGCACAGAGCAAAGGTTCTCAGGAAAGAGACCCTATAACCATCATCATGACTCATCATGCTCTCCTGGCTGCCAATTCCTCACCTCTTGTAAGGAGCCTGCTTTTCAAAGATTCATGAATTACTGGAGCTAAAAGACCCTTAACCCAGTCCAAGGTGTCCCAGGCAGGAAATGAACTTCTGGGTGGGGCAGGAGGCAAGACCGGCCCCACAGCCTGGAGTGCTTTGAGTTCTGAAGGCTGAGTGAGGCCCCTCTGCCCAGTATCTCCCCAGAAAAATCTCTCTGAAAACCTGAGGCCTGGCAGGGAGCCAGGACAGGAGGCCTCTCCAAGAAGATTCTGGCTCTAAGCCAAGGTGCATCCCAGAAGCTCCAGTTCACACTGAACAGCAGAAGCTGAGGGAGGAGGGGCAGCCAGGAACCCTCCAGCCAAAGGAAACCTGCTGGCTGAAAGGGGGTTTGTCATGAACCTGGATGCACTTCCCTAGGGTTCCTGCACATCTGGGTGCCTGTAAAATTGCTGTTGGGTTTGTGGAGGAGCCATCTTATCACCTATTACTGCACCCATTCAAACCCCATTGGGGCATAGCTAAGCCTTCATTCAAAGGCTTTTCTGGGGGTTACTCACTGGCTCTTTTACCCCTACCCTAAATGCTGAAAAACACACTGTTGCCTGCAGATTCAGGCCATAACTTCTGCCTCCAAGGACTAGGGGGTAATCCCTATTTAGAAAGCTGTCAAAAGCCTACCAACCAAGAAAAGCCCAGTACCAGATGAATTCTCAGCCAAGTTCCACAAGACTTTCAAAGAAGAATTAATACCAATACTCCTCAAAGTATTCTATGAAATAGAAAAGGAGGGAATCCTTCCAAACTCATTCTATGAGGCTAATATCACCCTGATACCAAAACCAGACAAAGACACATCAAGGAAAGAAAACTTCAGACCAACATCCCTGATGAACATAGACACAAAAATTCTCAATAAAATTCTGACAAATAGCATACAAAAACATATTTGAAAGATAGTGCACCATGATCAAGTGGGACTCATCCCAGGGATGCAGGCTGGTTCAACATATGGAAATCAATAAATGTAATTCATCATATTAATAGACTTAAAAACAAGAATCATATGATCATCTCAAAAGATGCAGAAAAAACATTTGACAAAATACAGCATCCCTTTATGTTCAAAACAATAGAAAAACTAGGGATAGTAGGAACATACCTCAACATTGTAAAAGCTATATATGCTAAACCAAGGCCAGCATCATCCTAATTGGAGAAAAGGTGAAAGCATTCCCGCTAAAAACTGGAACAAGGGTGTCCTCTTTCACCACTTCTATTCAACATCATCCTTGAAACTCTAGCCAGAGCAATTAGACAAAAGAAAAAAATTCAAGGAATACAAATAGGTAAAGAAGAACTCAAACTATCACTATTTGCTAATGACATGATTCTATATCTAGAAGATCCAAAAAATTCCACCAGAAAACTTCTAGAACTAATAAATGAATTTGGTAAAGTAGCAGAATATAAAATCAGCATCCATAAATCAAATGCATTCCTATACATCAGCAATGAATCCACTGAAAGAGAAATTAGGAAAACTACTCCATTCACAATAGCCTCAAAAAAACAATCACCTGGGAATAAAAAG